ACGACGAGAGAGAGAGAGAGAGAGAGAGAGGAAAGAGAGGGAAGGAAGGCTGCTGCTGCTGTGCTTGCTTGTTGCTCGGCTTGTTGCTTGCCTGCTTGCTTGCTTGGAACTGCGGGCGGTCTCGAAGGCGCAGAAGTGGAGCTTTCCCAGCCCCGGAGCGGCAGATGTATAACTCCGCCCGCGGACAGACCACACTGTGGCACACACTCCCCAGACTCCCTCCTCGAGTCCTTGAGTCCTCGGATCCTCACATTGGTCGATCGCGTTGGCTGTAGATACAACCTCTGTTGGTCGATTTTATTTGTCAATTTATCATCATCTAACCCTGATTCAGAGCTTAGAAAGTACATGCTTGACACCCTGTCGCATCAATTTGTTCAATATAATATATCGCAAGCTGGACTATAGCTGCTGAGAGCATTCTATCGGTGTCTCGTGAATTACGTGTCGAAGCACACTAAATATCCAAAACAACCTCACGCGCTCCGGTATCAGATGAAACAACGCCTCTTAGTGAGCAACTTCAGGATCGCAGAGTACTTTCTGTATAATATACTTCCAGATCATCTACCATGATTCGTACGCGAGTTCGTCATCCAGCGGAGATCTCTGTACAGGCCGACTGCGAGACATCGCTGCCATCGTCTGCTTGAAATCATCATACTCAGGCACGGGATTCAACTTGCTGTCGTAGTTGCGTGCTAATGGAGGGGACCCTTCGTCGGATGTGGCGCCATCGTTCCAGGTGTGCAAAGTGCAAGTCCCAGTGGACAGACCCCAGCCATTCCACGACGTCGCTGGAAAAGCACTCACGGTTAGCTTGGTTCCCAACCGGTCATAGACATCAATGCATGAACTTGGAACTTACCCGCCACAGCTGGGCAGCTCGGATGCCAGCTCGCGTCCCGAACGCATGTCTTCCACAGCACATCGCTCCGGCTGCTACGTATCTCATATGCAGCAGTCGACATGTCGGGGTCCAGCGGGCGCGAATTGTGAGTGGCTTGCCCTACGTCAATCGTCCCCGCCAGCGTCGCATCCATGTTATACACGTACACCTTGCCGTCCTCGCTTCCGCTATATACGTATCGGGAGTTAGTGCTGTTGGGCGGCGAGAAATGACACCGGATCAGAGTTTTGAGGACCCGATGGCCACGGTAGGTGACAACCGAACAATCGTGAGGATGAGGTTCGTAGTAGTCGTCGGGGTAGGATTCAAACCGGTAGTCGAATCCCGTGGTAAATGTGTTGAGGTCAATGGAGTCAAACTTCGCCGTGGTCATCATTTTTCGCAGATCCCAGAGCTTCATCGTCTGGTCCTTGCCGTTCGACAACACGTAACGCCCGTCCCCCTTGCTGTCAACGTAAGTCAATCCTTCCGTATGTCCCATAAATACACCAGCTTCGCGCCCGTCGCCCATCGAGCGTCTGTCCCAAACCCGCAAAGTCGTGTCATCGGATCCAGAATATATGATATGGGGCGAAGATTGGTCACCAAAGCAGACGGCGTTCACATCATCGTCATGATTCTGTAACCGCAACACCGACTGTCGTGTTTCAAGGTCATAGACAATGACCGATTGATCGGAAGTGCCAGCCACAATCTCGCGACCGTCGCCTGAGAATCGAATCGACCAAATCTGTCGCAGTTTGAGTACATATGATCTCATCAATGAGCAGTGTTGAGCAAGCTTACACCAAAGTGAGAATTCCCACCGAAACGCATCCTCCGTCTTCCAGGTACCGAGGATAGATCCAGGACAGCCGGCTCAGATTCATCAGCCGGATCCGTGGGCGCCAGGCAAACGAGATTCCGAATCGACGTATATGCCAGGAACTTGTTGTCTGGACTCAGGCTCGCGTCGGTGATAGTCCATTGCCCGAATGGATACGTCACAGTCTTGTAGTACTTCCAGTTGAAGGGGTTGGAAGTGTCGTACATTCGAACTTTGAAATCCTGGGCACAGCAGAAGAAGAAGTTGCCGTCGTCGGAAAACTGGCCTGAGTAGCAGCGAGAGTCGAAATGGATGACTTTGTCCGCCACTGAGCTGGGAATCAGCCCCTATACGCCGAAGGTTAGCATGCAAAAAGAATGTCTTGTGTGGTATCCAGGAGGGAAGACGAACCTGCGCCATCAATCGGATATCCTGCCTATTTGTTCCCGTCAAGTTTACCCCGAGTTCCCGCCACATGATCTTCGAAGCAAGCGCCTGGTTTCGTCGCTGGCGTCGATCAATGTAATTTGTATTGCGTCCAAAGTCGCCCGATCTCATCAAATCCTGGCCCTCGTCGCTGGGAACTTTGGGGAATTTGCTTTGGCCGGATCGCCGTGCTCGCCGGCGGTAGCCAAAGAAGCCAAACTCGTAGTCGTCATCTTCTTCCTCCCCGGGGGAGGTCTCATGCAGCCCGTTGTAGTGCAAGATGTGCCGCAAGCCGTTTGACGCCAACAAATTCAGCAACCGAGCTGCAGATACTGTAACCATGAGTTAAACGAATCAATGAGCCACAGATCCGATCGTGTTACCTCTATTCTGTGGTACCCTCTGAGTCTCTCCACCATTCCCGTTCTGGCCTGGCTCGTCCATGGCGAATTCAATCTCTATATTTCCTAGATGTAATTCAGGATCTAAGATGCAACGAGGCAGAAACAGCAAGAACAAGTCAGTCGTATACTCCAAAACAATACATTCCCAAGCTCGATGAGCTGGCACACAAATCAAACCATAAGACTTGGGGGTGGGGAGGAAACAGTACTGAGATTAGCACCATCGATATCAATGTGGTCTAGGTCGTCCTCGTTATGTTCGTCGTCATACGGCTCAATGTCGGAATCGTCGTCGTCGTTTCTTTCGTCAGTTTCATTAGGCTCATAGTCCATATCCTCATACTCGTCGTCTTCTTCGTCTTCCTCAAGCCATTCCCGAGCCGGATGCCACCCTGAATCCGATGCTCCTTGGTGAGAGGGAGGAGAAGATCCCGGGGGGCCGCCGCCAGCAGCGGGGGGCAAACCAGATGAACTCATTATCAGCCACACGGGTGAGAGGGTGGTGGTGATGCAAACTGTGTGAAATCAGCAGGGGTCATATCAGACACCCTGCCAATTGAACGGGTAGTCCGTCGCTGCAGAGCAAAACTAGCCACGAGGTTCCAATTGGCCGGCAAGTTGGTTTAGTGCTTTTTGAGGGCAGGCCGCGCTTTGCCCCATGCTTCTGGAGAGAAGAGGGGGATGTTGTTTGCCCATTGCTGACCGACGCTTATCGATAGGGCGGATCCTCGGATACGGTTATGTCATCTCTCTCGGGTGGAGATTGCCGGTTAACTCCTATCCCCGCAGGCCTGTCCATCCACCCAGTAAGTAGTGAATCTACTCTTCCTTCTAGGTAATATGTTTTGACTAGTATCCGTTCAGGTTTTTCGATTTGTTACATGAAGATAATAGGGAACTATCACTATCTGCAAAGGTATCTTAGTGGTGGAACATAATAAACATGCATAGTACGACAAGCGGATAGATGCAGGTGAAAAGAAGCGGCGCATGACAATACCTATCATAACCCTTTCCGAAGCATCATGAAGCAGCATGGCAGGTATTGTTGTCAGCGTTAACTCTGTAGCCAAAGAGTGATCGGGCTGCCGTTGAGAATGATATAGATATACGACCACATTGACAGCATCAATTCCACCTGCCCTTCGGTATCGGGGACGATAGTTGCGATCCAAGAGGATACGATATTCACCACCGCAAAAGTGTCCAACGTCATGACAGCGTCGAACAGCGGGTAGACCACATCATCCGGGCTTGCTAGCTCAGGTAAATTGCATGAAATCGAACGATCGACGACTTTAGCGGTATGAGTATTGTCAGTAAAACACTTCCTCTTGGACCGTCGTTTGATGGCCATCGCGTGGAGTGCAAGAAGTTCGACAACTATGTGGAGCCGTGCTCGCAACATTGAAGTACCTTTCTTCTTATCAGCTCGTTTCCTGGCCAATTGAGGAAGACGCGTCTTCTGTGTAGACTGCTTGCACAGCCAGCCCAAGGAGCGACGAGTGACATCCACATCCATCGATTGGATCAGGGTGCCTTGCTCGATCTTTCTTTCTGTGAAATAGTGAGCACATGAACCACTTCATGGTCTATAGACGTGAAAGGGTAGGTGTACAAGAAACATACCATAGAGGATCATTCCAGACAGAGAGCTGTACATCACACTCAGCACCGCGTGGTCCAGATGATCGATTGCTAGTGTCTTCTCATGTGGCATGCATGAGTCCGAGTCGCAAGATTCAGTCTTTTCTTGATCGAAAGATACCAGCCTTTGACTGATAACCGTGAAAGACGTTGTTACTTGGCCTGCGCGGCACTGATGTAGTCTAGTCTGTGCTTCGGGTGTCGACTGATCTTGCACCTTTGCTGGTAGGCATCTTGCCGGGGCGTGCAAGACAACTGCGGGTTCTTTCCCGGAAGGGTCTTTCGTCGAAATCACCACATTGGTATCGATTGAAAACATTAGCATTAGAGCGGATCGCGATCTTGTGATGCAAGGACTGTGGCTTTCGCTATCTAGCTTAGTTCGGCTGTGAAATGGAGGAATTGTGAGCTTGAGGTGCAGCGAGGAGACCTCATAGGGTCGGCAGTCTTCGAGAATACTAAAAGCACCCATAGCGCGAGGAGGATCAGAATAATCAATCCCGATATTTGTCGATGGCGGTGACCAAGTCGCATCGGTGACGGAGTGTGTGAGGGCATCCTGTCTGTTCACACGAGGAGCCTGGTCACGGCCCCGCCAAATCTCCGCTTTTTGGAGACCAGCATTGTTGCAGGTCCGATCTGCACATTGATGACATTTTCCGGAAAGCACTTTTGATCGTCGACATCGAGAGCAATTGTCAAAGACATGTCCACAGGTGGTGCACTTCTTCTCGGGCTGAACCTTCTTTGGCTCTTGGTGAAGCTCTCCTTGACCTCTAGCGAGAAATCTTTTCTGTAGTGATTCCTGTGAGTGGGGTCTTCTTTTATGTTTCTCAGGCCCAGAGATGTTGATGCGAGCCTTGGGGATCTCGGAGACAGTTCCCTCATTGTGTTGGCCACATGTAGCTGGATTGGTACCATTCGTCATCCACCAATGCTGACTTGTTAGACTTGTTGTTCCGGAACATGTCTTCTCTTCGGAACGCGGCCTTTCAACTTCTGCAAGATGTGATGGTCCATAATCAGCGACCACACCGGAGTTTGGGCCCGTCAGATTCTCTGACGCGGGGCCGCTTACACCATGTGTCGCTTGATGTGCATGCTGGTTATGGTGATACCCCGTGCTGAAAAAGGTAGAGCCCGAATGTGTGCCGTGCCCAGAGGGGGACTGGCCATTGTTTGCTCCAAGCCCACTGCCAGGGAATTGGAAATTACTGAAGCCAGAGCCACCACTGCCCTGTCCACGGTCGTCGCTGTTCCGGCGACTCTGGCTAGCGCTGGTGCTTGCCGAACCAGCTCCTGCCACCTGACAATGCCCACACACGCACTTAAAGTACTCATCCCAGGAGTTAACAACATTCTGACACAGCGGGCAGACACGAGGTGGGGACATCTTAGTTTCGACTATGTTGATTTGCTCGCGAGTGGCCCGCCATTGAAATCCGTGGTTGTGTCTCAAGTGTGAATGCACCTTGTCCTTCCTCCTCGTCGTCCAAAGGCACTTGTCATCAAGGCAACGATAGATAGACCGTGGAGCATGCTCATAGGCAACATGACGTCTGAATGAGGCCCGCGTGTTGTAGAACTTACGCTGTCCACTAGGGCAAAGCCAGCAGAAGAATTTGCATGTTCTGGGACCGGTATCTGCCAATCTCTCGAATATGTCAATTTGTTGCTGAATCATGCCGTCCAGTCTGTGCCATATAACTTGCAGGAAGTCTTTGGCATCGTGTAGCTGAGGTATCTGGCGTTGCAAGACGTTGTTCTGGACTATGTGGATGAGGTGTTCCACGGCAAGCTTGAATTCATCCCGATATACATCGCTCGATGCCTGCGGCGTAGGCGCAGGCGCAAAGTATAGCGGATCAAACCCAGTATCTTCAATGTCTGTATTTGTGAAAGGGTTCGCGTTGTCAAATAAAGGTTGATTACCAGCTAGAGGATTGACGGAGTGGTCGTAGAAGAGAGGAATGTCCAACCCATGACGAATGGCATCTTCCGTGGGACTTATACTGATCGAAGGAGATCCGAGAGAGGGAATTGATGAGGGGCTTTGCTGCTGAACACTGAAGTTAGATTAAGTATGGGTAGAAAGGTCTACTTGGGATAACAAACCAATGAATGTATTTCAGATGGTCCAGAGGGTCCGGTAGGAATTAGTTGACCATGGTCTAGATGATGTTGGTAATCAGGATAAGTGAAACGTATATGGGCGGCATCGTTGTTGCTCGGATCATCGTTCATGTCCACACAGAAGGCTGTTGGCGCAAGACAGACTAGTGAATCTGAGTTAAAGAGGTCAATGAGGCACCCTGTGGTGAGACCGGAAGTTTGGAAAAGATCTGACTGGGAGATGGAGCAAGGCTTGTATTGATGAAAATAAGCGGTACCTGGCTCTTCACAAGCACCAAAAGGTCAGGAGTATAGTAAGACAAAGGTAGCCGACCCAAATGGGAATGCTATATCGAGCACGCACGCACAGTTCAAACCAGCCAGAATAGACCAAGTATCTCAAAAGATTGTAGAAGCTTGGGAGGATAGCATATCATATATAAGGCATCACTGTTTCTAGCAGGCCGTGTCAGGTGTCATTCGAACTCAACACTTGTCTCTCCCCCAAGAAGCGGTATGTAGATTAACCCTAAAAGAAAGGTCGAAATGACATGACGTTGCGTGGCTAATTTCAAGCGGACAATTAATCTCAGTCCTTTAGCCCAGGCCATCTCGGAGCCTTGCCCGCAGCGACGCCCGCTGGCGACCATTTGAGGAGAGCAATATGCAGGTTAACAGGCAGACATTCGTATCCCTGCTCAAACGTTGCCTAGACGTTTCTGAAAGATAAAAAAGCATAGAAAAAAAAAAGAAAAAGAAAAAAGAAAAGAAAAGAAATAATCGGCTTGGTAATGCTTACACTAATGGTTGATCGTCGCCAGGTACTCATGCGGACCTTCGTGCAGAGTTAAGCTATCCATTCAGGAAACTTAAATGATGAATTGTTTAAAGACACTTGATTGCTAATTGGTGAGCTTGGCGTATAGTTGAAGACAGCCATTGTAGTCCCCAAGAGCAGTGCAACAATATCTAGATCCTTGTGATACCCGGGCAAATGCAGGTTGCAGGAGATGGGCGGTGTCGCAATTACACCATACTTTGCATGAGCTCTGATCGGGAATCAAAGAAGCACCATGCAGCACACTTGTAGTACCCAATCAAAGAGGCGAAGCACAACCCAAATGCGTACACTGATGGCCCAGACAATATATCCGGGACTATGCAAAAGCTCCTATCAGGAAGTGAGGCGTTCAGGATCCGAGATCGAATTCACAGAGTGCCCTGAGCCTGAGCACTGCTTCACTGTCGTACCTGGGTCCAGAAAACCTTGGAACTCAAGTCAACTGATTGAGAAAGGCTGGAAGGTTGAGAAGAAGGTCACAAGTCTCGGAATCTTTCAGCTGGAGTATCCGACGCCCCATCGTGCTGTGAAAGAGCACTACTAGTACTAAGCCCTGCTGCGCCACTGATAACTGCTGCATAGTACCTCTGGCCAGAATTGACAATTCCCAGCAGTCAAGAGTAGACCTAGAATCAACCCCCAGGGCATCATTGATGCTTACAGTCATAACGTAAGTCAGGATAAAGTAGTGGAGCAGACGGAAGACCCAAAACCTTCTGTCATACACAACAGCTTGTTGCAAGTATGATGACAGCAGCAAGCTTTGACAGGTAAGCCCTTTTTTTCTCTCTTGGACCTCCGACCTGCACGAGCAATGAAAAAGGAAAATGGTGTTCAAGAGCCTCCTCTTTTCTTTTTTTTTTTTTGTTTTCTCTTTCCCCTGTGCGCCTCGGCCTTTGCTTCTCCGCTTTCCTTTCTTCCTGATTCGCACGGCTCCTACGAGCCTCATGACAAGGCACCGATTGTTTGCTTCAATGGCGCTAGCAAGGGCTGGTGTCATTGCAAACCAAGGCAGCTTTTCTGGTCTTTTGGTCCGACATGATTCATGTCAGCTGGGAGGGAACCTGCACCGGCAATGATGTCAAGCCACCTGTGGCTGTGTAACCGTCCAGGTCGTTCCGCCGTTCCCTTCCCTTCCCTTCCCGTCCCTTCCCTCTACCCCGAAATCTGGTGCATGAGACTATAATCGGTTCCTGATGACATCGTGGCTATGAGACCATTCTGTGGCTCCAACAGTATAGCTACCATGCTCCTCTGACCTGATTCGTGCTCAACTCTCCGACGGAAGTATCCTAATCTACTTTGTTATGGACAACTCTCGGGGAAAAAAAAAAAAAAAAGGAAGATAAGCCGCACCATGCAAGAGGTAAGTGAGGCTGGTTCTCAGCCACATTCGTAAAGTCCCCGACTTCGAGCCAACATCTCTGCACATCATTGCAAATACCTTCGGGCCAAGCGTGACGATGCGATGTAACACTCACGGAGGCTTGTCGGGCATACAGGTCCGGGCAGCTGTCACGGCAAAGCAGTCAAAATGGGCAGGAGGCTGTGGGGTGTTGAAAAGTCGAGATAATCGCTAAGCCAAGGGAGGAAGTTGTTTATCCCCATTCAGTAATCTCACTTGGGCATTGCCTAACTAACCAGAAAGCATGGTAAAGCTGCGAAGAATGGTAAACTAGCATACGAGAAAAGTCTGTATACAATGCTAAGCCATATCGTTTGGTCTCTGAAGCGCATATCTGATGCCCTATCCCATTGGCTTGTGCGCTTCAGTACGGCATCTTGAAGGCCTGAAAAGATGAACAGAAAGTCCCGTCGGTCCAAACCCTCGATTTGTACGGACATTCTGGAAATGATTACGCACACTCTGTTTCACATAGCAGAGGAATCCTCGTCAACCTGTTTAATGTCTATGAAGCAGAAGACCTAAGCTGTCTGCCCGGAATACTTCAAAGACTGTAAACAGTGGGGTGGTACGATTTGTTAGAACGCAGGGGTAGGACATGTTGATAGAAACGATTCTCATTTGAAAGATGGTACAAAGATCCAGGTGATGTTCTACATTGTCTTCATTGTAGAGGGTGTGGTATATACACAAATCCTCGCTCGTCCGGTAAATCAAACACCAGTCGTTTAGTGGGGGTGGTTCTTGTGGTGACCTGCTCTAGAATTAGCGCTCATGTATCGCACACTGTCATTGAGTTTAGGAAACATACGGAGGTGGAAGTAGTACTCCATGCTGTAGCCGAGGAGAAGGATACCGGCAATGGCGTGGATGAAGGCTATATGCCATGCGGCGTCAGTGTGATGTATCGTACAACAGAGGGTGAGTGGTCACTAACGAGTAGCAGACTGGTTCTTTCCGGTGAAGTAGCGACCCTGGTAGCGTCCAATGAGGCCAGTGGCCTTGACCTCAGGGGCGGGACCGCGAGGAAGTCTGGCGTAGAAGTTCACAACACGGTCCATGCGGGCAGCATCCTTGGCAGCACCGATCGCCTTTTCAAGTTGTTAGCTGGGGTGATAGGGAAGGGGTGGGTGTGCGGGTTGTTCAGCCGAGGTGACCAGAGCAGAAAGAGATTGCTTCTGGAGGCTGCGTCTCAGAAGGAAGGCAGACAACAAGACAGTAGGGGTTCTCACGTTAGGGGAAGCGATCTAAGCAACTATTAGCATCCAATTGGCCCAGGTATCATGTTGTTTTCGGACTGCGCTGGAGTCGGGCCTTACCTTGGGAGGGATCAGGGTCGAAAGACCGCGGCGGGCGATGTAGCTCATCTTGAAGGATCTATCCAAAGGTCGCATCAGTGAAAAAGTTCAATCCATACCAGGAGACGTAAGATAAACAATGGGTCGGTCTCGGAACAGTCGACTTACCTTGACGCTAGCAGGTTAACTAGGACAATGAATACTGACGGGGAGAAGAGAGAAGTGCCAACAGAAAGCGGGTTGTCGGATGAGCGGTTCCTAACGCAGGGAGCCTCATTATCGCGCTAGTCCTAATTCGGATTTGTCTGAACAACCGGCACTCGCCGCATACCTCACCTTGCAATTGTCCTCCCGCAGCTGCTCCTCCACCTGTCCCCTCCACAGACCACACACACACATATTCCCATCATGTCGCTTGCGAGAGTAGGAAGGTTCGCCTGCCTCCGCGCTGGCAGGCTCGCCGCTCCTGTCAATGCCCGTTTTGTGTCGACCGCCGACGGCTCCGTCCAGACCAGCCCTGCTGATGCCCCGACCATCCCTCACAAAGACAGCACATTGATCCGCAAGGAGAGTCCTTCGCAGGCAATGGCTCGTCACCAGCCCGATTACGAGGCCACCATTGACCACGCTACTTCGTGAGATCTCTTCCGTGGCGATCTGGGGAATATACATCAACTGACGACAATCCAGGCAATTCTCCCCCGTGCCCAAGCGGGTCATGGATGGCAGCGAGCCTGGTGACACCGTCGCCGCTGCTGTTCTGTCCGGCGCTCCCACCGATCTGCAGGCTCGTACCGTCCGGTGAGTAATGTCGTCAGTCGCTGTGCTCCAGCGCACTAATTGGATAAAGGATCTACCGCCCTACGAAGCCCGCTACTCAGTCTGGAACCTGGCACGGTCACCACTGGCGAATGGATTGGGATATCTTGCAGAAGGGTCACCGGTGGGAGAACCCTCTGATGGGCTGGCAATCTTCCGCCGACTGCATGCAGGGTACCAACCTCAAGTTCAAGACCAAGGAGGACGCCATCCTGTTTGCGCAGAAGCAAGGTTACGAGTACTTCGTTCAGGAGCCCAATGAGCGCCGGTTCGTTCCCAAGTCGTACTCCAACAACTTCCTCCACGAGCCGAAGAAGCTCAAGCACATCAAGACCAAATAAATTGAGTTATTCTTCGCGTCTCGTGTACATAAGTGCAGGCTTTTGTTCTAGTTCTGAATCATGCTTGGAGGTTAATTACATTGTTTTCAAACACTTCAACCTCCTTACACTTTCAAGTCCATGGCTTGTTTTCGTCACCGGAGAGGCTTTTGCATTACCAGAGGTGCCTTCCAGAAGAAGGTGATTAACATGGCACCTACTCATGGATCAGGTCAGGATACAGTCTTTTCAATGATTCCCTCATGGTACATATGCTACAGAGATATGAGTAACTAGATGCCATAGGCTCACTTGGGTCACATCAGCATTCTCAGTCTGAAGATCTTACTCTCCGCATGCTGCCACATGCCCCGGCTTACCATTTCTGTCTCTGCTCATGCTACAACCCTTTTTGACACCCAGTGCTTCATTAAGAGTCATTGCATTGCAACTGATCTACTACGTAACAGCAGTCGGACTGGATTCCCAAAATAGATACCAAGCACAGTGTATCTTAGCCTAACATGAGTTCCTCTTAAAGGTATATCTGTGAAATGGAAAATATCATGTCAGGTTGAACAGAAAAGTTCACCGTAGCTAATTAGTACAACTCTAGCCAATTTACAGATACGGCTGTGGTATAAAACACAGTACAATACTCCGTTTTGCGTGGGAAGGCACTAGCGCAACTGCGAAACAATCTGCATCTGCCGTATGTATGTGCGAGCATCGAGCTTTATATTTTGTGCCGATATTCGGCATGAACATTGTCTGCCTACACATGGGTCCATTGTCACATCTTAATCTAGCGATATGTCACCTCATTGAGCTTTCCTGGGGCATTTCAGCAGAGATAAGATCTGTCCCGCTGCAGCTGAAGGATGGTGCCTACCGGCACGTTTCGATCCGGATCGTGGTGGTGGTGGCTTGGAGAGATTTTAAAGCAAAAGACGCCTAGCCCACGGCCCTGGCACCCCGCCCCCCACCTAAAATTTATTATCGGGTAGTGATAAGATCGAAAAATTGTCCATCTTTCATGGTCGACTATCTCTCTGCACTCTATTCTCCTTCAACAATACCCCCGTCCCCCTCTTTTCAGCCTTCTCGAATACGTTCTTTAATCCATAATCATCATGTCTTCCGCTACAAACGATAATTTGGAGGGTGTTGACGAGACCGTCCTCACCTTGCGCAAGGTTCTTACCTCCGAGTCCGAGCCCCTCGCTCGCCGGTTCCGCGCCCTTTTCTCCCTCAAGTACCTCGCTTGCCTGCAACCTCCCACCGAAAAGACGCTGCCTGCTATTCAGGCCATCGCTGCTGGCTTTTCGTCCAAGTCCGCCCTCCTCAAGCATGAGCTTGCCTACTGCCTCGGTCAGACCCGGAACCCCGACGCCGTCTCGTACCTCCAGCAGGTCCTGAAGGACACGGAAGAAGATGCCATGTGTCGCCATGAGGCTGCAGAAGCTCTCGGTGCTCTCGGCTACGAGGACAGTCTGGAAATCTTGAAGTCTCTGAGAGACAATGAGAAGGAGCTCGATGTCATCCGCGAGACGTGCGACATCGCGGTGGATCGCATTATCTGGGAGAACTCCGAGGAGAGAAAGGCCGAGAAGTTGAAGCCTAGGTACGTCTACGCAATTCCGTAGTCTATTCCGCAGTCTATCGATTCTTCATAGATGTATTGAACGCGCTAATCGTTGAGAAACAAATAGTGACTTCACTTCCATCGACCCTGCTCCGCCACTTCCCATGGCTGCCGAGCAACCTTCCATTCCCGAATTGGAGAAGACCCTGCTCGACACGAAACTTCCTCTGTTCCAGAGATATCGCGCCATGTTCGCACTGCGCGACCTTGCCTCGCCTCCGGACTTGCCCACGGCCGTCGAGGCTGTCGATGCGCTGGCCAAGGGTCTCAAGGATCCCTCCGCTCTTTTCCGTCACGAGGTCGCTTTCGTCTTTGGCCAACTGTGTCACCCTGCCTCCGTGCCTTGCCTTACGGAGTGCCTGAGCGATCAATCAGAGATGGGTATGGTGCGACACGAAGCCGCGGAAGCCCTTGGCAGCTTGGGCGATGTGGAGGGTGTCGAGGATACATTGAAGAAGTTCTTGAACGATCCGGAGCAGGTGGTTAGAGACAGCATCATCGTGGCGCTCGATATGGCGGAATTCGAGAAGAGCGGAGAAGTCGAATACGCCCTGGTGCCAGACTCGGCTGCCCCTGCTGCGGTGTCTGCTTGATTTGATGAATTATGCGAACAATGATATTACAGTGTCGGTAAATAGTTGCTTTCGTGCCTCATAGATGTACAAATAAGGGCCAAAAAATAGACGTCATGATCTTCGCTTTTTAGTTGTTGGTCGTCTCCCTGTAGAAAGTGGTCAATGATCCGGGACTATTCAGAATGCGCGAGCAAGGGATTGGGCTTACTTGTAACCACAAACACACGTGTAGAAAACTGTACTTCCTTCGTCGGCGCTGCGCAATTGTACTGTCGTGAAGTACATTTCCTTTCTACCACACTGGGCGCATGTGTGCTGGGCAAGGGCTTCCGTCTTTCTGTCCTCCGCGGTCAAAGTCTGGACAGCAGATCGCTTTGCCCTGAGAGATGAGGGGAAAGCACTGGGCTTGGATTCGGACACGATGGTCTGGGGAACGGTGTCTGATTCAAAAGAAAGCTGTGTCAGTAACATGGTATATTTTATATTTCCTTAACTTGGGGGAATCGTTCTACCTTTGTTCTTAGCTCCGCAAATATCGCAGATCAGAATCTTGCTCGGATCTCCAATTGAGCCATCCAGCAAGGAGCCACAGTCAGTGCAGAAAACAAGGGATCCGATGGCCGACATATTGGTCAAGTATGGGGTTCGATGTTGTAATTTCTTCGTTAGCCGTATCGATCTGTGAGCCTCCCAACTTTTTTTTCTGCGAGGGAAAGCGGCCTCCGGAAAGATTTCCACCGCACGGACCACTTTCCAAGGCCAGCAACTACATTAGTCCCGGGCGGTCAGCAGCGGCAGCGGCATGAGAACCGTGCCTGGCATTAATTATTGCATCAGTTTGTATTGCGATCTGTTGAAGTAAACCCATCTTCCTTTTTTGGAATGATCCTTCATTTCCTTGACAGATAGTCATGTCTCTGGGTAGAGCATGTCTTCCTCCGCTGTTCTAACCCTCCTGTCACACCGACCCCTATTTCCCACTCGGGTATACCGCTGCTATGGCTCAAAATTGGCACCCGGCCGTTCAGGTCGTCATCAATGGCCATCCACAAGCGCAGCCTCTGGGCCCGAACGGGCAAGCTCGGGCTTGGAATAGGCCTCTGTATGTGAACGAAGCTCTGCAGTATTCTCCTATGTCTAGCGCGCCGATATTTGGGTTAGGTCAGTGTGATATAGCACCTGAGCGACAAAGGAGCTCAAACTGATAGTTACTCGTCTCTCCTTAGACTGTATCCTACGTCCTGACGTGGGGCGACCCCCTAGTACCACCTCTATCAATCATATTGTTCAGTCTGGTCGTACTGCTCTGAGTGACCTGAACAACGAGATCCGATCGGGACGCGATGAGTCGGGCCGCCTGGAGACATCTCGGGAGTACCTGCAGCAATTGTTGGATGGTGACCAGCTAACGGAATTGTGAGCTGACAATGGCCCTTGGTATACACAACAGAGACTCACTGGACTTCATAGCAAATTCAAACTGCCACCTGGCATTGGAAATGTTCGGCCCTCACCATCAACTACCGTTCCGGACCATGTTTCCAGCAACAACAAGCTTAGTCCCTTTGCTCAAATGATGCTGGACGCCACGGACATTGCATTCAGATGTATGGAGCCCAAGCAAATACTCAATCGCAATACGCGCTCGTACTGACAGTAAGCAGATCCAACCTCGGGCGACATGAAGGTCTCGCAAAGGCCCACGTCCCGGAAAGAAAAGACACCTCTCACAAATAAACCAACCCCTCCTCACCAGAATCGGCAGCCTTCTCAAGCCACTCAGCTCTCGGTAGTCATTCCCGTGAAACCGCCGCCACCTCATACCGACGATCATACTGCCTCAAAGAGGCGCAAACTCAATGCAGATGGGGGTGATAATCTTGGATCAATCCGGTTGAAAGACCAGAAAGAAGAGGCGGATGCGGCTCTTGTCAAGCTTCAGGATCTGTTTCAGGAGATTTTTGAGGCAGAGGATCAGCTTGATCCGGGGACATTGTCAGAAGGGACTACTGAGCAATCCAACTCGATGTTCGTCGCAGCTCACGCGCTGGACGTGAACGGGCTAGTTCTGTCATCAGATACTCATACGCGGCTGCAAAAGGCTATTAAGAAGGTCATTAGCTTCAATCGGCTTCAGGACATTCCTTCAGAATATCTGAACAGGGCCCAGAAGCTCTGCGAAAAGCCCATCATTGCTGCGCAATCGCTTGATTTGAGACTAGACGATCCGTCAAGTGAGCCGGACACTCAGGACTTTCTTAGAAAGCTGGATGATATGTACAATGCATTGTCCGCGGTGGGTACTTTGCTGCAGACCATGTCTGGTTCTCAAACGGAGCGGGACCTATGCCCAGAAGACCTAATCGAAGCAATCCCCAACGTCTTCAATCAGCTTTTCGATCACTGCGTTATTCCTGCCGTTCAAGCACGTCCTGGAGGCAAAGATGCGAAGTACTTTGAATTCTTTTCATCGCAGAAACGGGTGCTGGGCGCGCTCATTCAACACAGCAAGAAAGTCCTTGCCCTTTTCGCCGATTTCCTCGCTCGCATTGAAGTGTCGGAAGGGACAGTCAATGCAGCGGAGTACTTCGCAGCCAAACTGATCTTCGTGGAGAATGCTCATACTGAAAAAGACTCCACTGTCGGCTATCAGAAGTATGAGTCGGTCAGGCGGGGGGCAATGGACGTTCTGGCAAAGATATTCTCGAAGTATCCTGCTCAGCGGCCGTATATTCTAGATGAGATATTGGTTTCTCTAGAGAAATTACCTTCCACGCGACAGAGTGCTAGGCAATTCAAGCTTGCCGATGGCAAGAATATCCAGCTTCTCACTGCACTGGTGATGCAGCTGGTGCAAACGACCGCCTTAGATGTTCCTAGCTCCAAGTCTTCCAGGATGAAGCGGAAGTTGCCAGGATCGATTGATAACGACGCCGACGAGGACGAAGACGAGGAGCTTACAGGAGACGGTCAGGAAGATGATGATCAGGACTCGGATGTGTCTCTGGAGCGTCTTGCGACGAAAGTCAATCGGTTATATGATAACGCCGTCCGAAGTGCTCAATATATAGTGAAGTTCATCGTACAGCGGGCAATGACTTCGACCAAGACTGGGGACCAACCATATCGGAATATCTTCGACCTTTTCAC